CAAAACAAAGATGCCTTAGTCGTGTTTAAACCTGCTAGACTAACAGTGGTCTCTGGAGTCTTAAACTTCCTAATGCTGCTGGGGCCCATGGGATAAATGAAAAGGATGCTTGGCCAGGAGGTCAGAGTGTGCAGGGCACTCTCACTCTCCCTCAGCCTCACTTCCGGAGTCTATGGAGGTAATAATCTGGGGTTATGAAATTCTAGAGACAACACGTGTACAACAAAAACCCTTTAAAAAGACAAGGAGTTACTTAGTATCATAGACAAGGGTAAGCCGAGTGTCAACACGACTTGGAGAAAATTCAAGAGTGATTTTAAATTCTGCGTTTCAAACATCTCCATTTTCTCTCTGTTCCCCAAGACGCCTCTGCATAAGAGCTTCCTTCCATCTGCCCGTGAAAGACAATAAGCCTAATTCCGGGGGATTTGAGTAATACTGGTCCCAGTTACATTTGGGTTAATACTCTAATTTTGTTTCTCCTTGCAGGGTTTTGGGACTTTTGACATGGACTGTTTTAAAAAGTATGGAAACATGTGGGGGTGAGTATTCGGGAAAATCTCCTTGGATAGACACGGTTTTGACTGGGGACCCCATGGCATGCAGGACAATCTCAGCCCAGAGCCTCTGTGATAAAGCCACCTCCAAAAAGCTTTTGGAGGCTTGTCCTCTAGGACCCCAGATGTCACCACGTGTCCAGGCTGCATTCAGAATCAAGATGGGGAGTTGCAGGTTACCATTCTCTCAAGACTTTAATGGCCTAGGGACTCCTGGCATCACTTCCTGTCCAGTTTCTCATTATTCCCCTCGTCTCCACTTTTCGTCCCTTAGGTCTCTTTTAATTGAATGAAATGCATTATTTCAGACCCTTCTTCTTTCAGACTTTTAAAAAAATCCTAACCTGAGGATATGTTTTTATTGATTTTAAAGGAGAAAGAGAAAGAGGGAGAGAGAGAGAGAAAGAGAGAGAGATGTTAGAGAGAAACATTGATTGGTTGTCTCCTGCACATGTCCTGACCACAAATCAAACCCACAACCTTTGGTTGTAGAGGACAACACTCCAACCAACTGAGCCACCTAGCCAGGGCAGATCCTTCTAAACTATATTCATAAATGTCTTTCATAATCTCTTACGCACATGATTGACTATTAATTAAAATCCAAAATTCTTCATTTTAAATTTGATTTGTTATATCCTTTTGAAAAAGGTCTGTGGGTCTAGGTCAGTGGTCGGCAAACTGCAGCCCCTTGAGTGTGGCTCTTCCACAAAATACCACATGTGGGCGTGCACGTAAAGTGTGATTGAAACTTCGTGGCCACACTCAAGGGGCCCAAGAGCCGCATGTGGCTCGCAAGCCGCAGTTTGCCGACCACGGGCCTAGGTAAACAGAGTCCTCTTTGGATATTTCTCCCTCTTTCACAAGCATGTCATACACAGAAACTGCTAAAAATTCATTCTTTCTTTTCGCCTCCACAGGCTTCATCCCACTCCCCAGACACAAATACAACATCACATAGCAAAGACCTTTGAATCACATTGTTCTTCTGCCCACTGGGCTACACAAGCACACTGTGTTTCTAAAACACCTTTCCAGGGAAATCAAGTTAACTGTGGAAGACCGAGGCATTGTTTCTCAATATTTGCTGCCCCTCCTAAATGCTGCAGTAGCTGTGGTGAGAGCCGCAGGAGAGGTGTAACGTGGTGTTGTGTCCTAGAAGCAAAGGGGAGAAGGCTTTGCTTCTCAGTACTTTCTCATACTCTTCAAATCCTCAGAAACCATAAGGTTCTACTGAGTTGGCAGGGTCCAGAAAGGCTACATGGAGTAGAGGGAACACACAGCACTGGGTCACCACTGGCCCAGCTCCAACTGCCCTCCCAACATTGACCACCTGTGAGGTCTGCATGGAGTCACTTTCTTTGGAAAGAGGTTCTCGCGCTTGGGTGTGTATAAGCACCAGCTTGGAGAGTGTGTTAAACATACAGATTCTTGGGGTTTAGTCCCCAACAACACCGAATCCATAGTGTCAGGGCTGGGGCCCGAGAATCTGAATGTTGCCTGTATTGTAACCAACTCTAAGGCTGGTGTGAGGTCATAAATGTAGAGGGTTACCCAAAACCTTGTGTCTCTCCACCCAGGTGTTTTTGAAAAACATGATGGGGAGAAGGGAGTCATCCAAGAAATATAGTCAATCAGTCTGACCAATCTAAGTGCCACCGCAATTACTTATATCACTGCTTCCACACTAAATGTACTTGACACCCACTTACACCTTCTGAGCTTCAGAAGATTTTTTGGAAATGGGCAGCATTAAGTGCAGGGGTCCTCATCCATTTTTATATGGGTCACAAAACAGAAAGTCCTCTGAGGAGCCAAAGAAAGAATAGGTAAGACTTGTGGAAAACCGTCCATTATATTCTACTTAATGAAAATGATTTATAGTAAAAAATAAAATGCTAGAGGGCAGTGTTACTAAACTTATAGCAAACCTCATGTAATTCAACTTATAGTAAACCTGTTAGGAAATGGCCAGGTTAGGAAATATCACAGAAGGAGTCAGCTTGTGTGGTGTGTGTGTGTGTTAAAAGTGGCCCTGCTGCTGGCTGATGTCTCCTACATGGGGCCCGAGGCCCACTTGGGACCCACAGACAGAATAAATATAATGAAAAGAAAATATTTTTAAATGAGTAGTGCATGCTCCTTTATATGTTTTATTCTCTTTGTCCTTTGTTTTAAATATTTCTAAACTTGATTTTACCAACCAAGGACTTCTCTCTAATAGTTAAAATACTTCCTTTAAGCAATTGTAAACCAGTAAACACATTTTAGAAAATAGGGCAAAGAAATCACTCATATTTCTACTCTATTTTTTAGCATTCCAAGTCTTTTGTATTTGCAGACATATTTTCATGTATTTGTGATCAGTATGCCTACACTTTTCATCTAATACTATGTAATATGCATTTTTTATGTTTTTATATATCTTCAAAAGTATATTTTTAAGTAACTGGGTGTGTATTTTTTTTTTTCTGTTCTCAGATAATTTACTGGCCTTCATCTATTTACTAATTTAACTTTCTTTTTGAGAATTTGATAATGAAATAATTGAAACATACAAAAACTTATATAGACTGCTATAGAAAATTCCCACAAAGACACCACCTGAATAAATAAATTTGGCAATGTAACAGGATACAAAATTAATACCCAGAAATCTATGCCTTTTTATATACCAATAGTGAACTCACAGAAAGAGAAACTAAAAAAAAATCCCATTTACCATTACACCATAAAAGTTAAGAAACCTAGGAATAAACTTAACTAAGTAGGTAAAAGACCTGTACTCGGAAAACTACAGGACATTGAAAAAAGAGATAGAAGAAGACATAAACAACTGGAAGAACATACCATGTTCATGGATTGGCAGAATCAACATCATTAAAATGTCCATACTACCCAAAGCAATCTACAGATTCAATGCAATCCCCATTAAAATACCAATGGTATATTTCAAAGACGTAAAACAAACTCCAAAAATTCATCTGGAATAAAAAAGACACCCCGAATAGCCACAGCAATCCTGAGAAAGAAGAACAAAGTTTGTGCAGCAAGAACATTAAATTTTTTAATATTTTAATATATATATAATTGATTTCAAGGAGGAAGGGAGAGAGAGAGAAAGATAGAAACATCAATAACTTTTTAAAATCATGGATTGGCTGCCTGCTGCTGGGACCGTGTGCTCTGACCAGGAATTGAACTGTGGCCTCTGGGATTCATAGGTTGACGCTCAACCACTGAGCCACACCACCTGGGCTGTCCTGTTCATTTTAATCAGCTCTTTTCCCCCAATTTAGGTTCTATGATGGTCGGCAGCCTGTGTTGGCGATCACGGATCCAGACATGATCAAAGCAATCCTAGTGAAAGAATGTTATTCTGTCTTCACAAATCGGCGGGTAGGTATTCATTCCTTTTAAAACTAAATTGTTATTTATTTTTAATATTGAAAAAATAATAAACAGGAAGTTGTCAGAAAATATATCCATGTAGGTCCCATGTCATGTACCCTTCATTCTGTTTCTCCCAATAGTGATGTCTTATATAACTATAGCACAACATCAGAGCAGGTATTTCACATTGGTGCTATCCAGAGCTTATTCAGATTTTGGCAGTTTTATCTGCACTCATTTGGGGGTGTGTGTTGCTTATAGAATTTTATCATACATATAGATTTATGTAACTACCACCACAATGAAGACAGAACTGTTCCATCACCATAAGTCTTCCTCTTATTATTCTTTTATCGTCACAGTGTGCAGCTTGCCTTTTCCTTTATGAGAATCCTTAGCAGTGCAAACAATTTTTTTAATTGATGAAGCCAATTTATCAATTTTTCCTTTTATGGGTTGCCTTTTTGTGCCCAAGTTCAAAAACTCTTCTCATAGCCCTAG